GAGGGCTCCGTGGGGTAAAGCAGCTCTGCCTGCCCGGGGCTGAGTGGGCTGTGGGCCCTGGCGGCCACGCGGGTCACAGGAAGGCGTGGGGGACAAGACGTGGGAGAGGGACCTGTGAACCAGAGATGAGGTTGCCCAGGTGCTCTTTGAAACGGAGGGTGAGGTGGTCAGTGGGCCTTATCTACGCCGAGCACACCCACCTGACCCCGTGGGCTGAGCCGTTCCTCACAGCCTGAGGTGCTTCTGGACTCCCTGAGCGCTTTGCACAGCTGGCAAATGCCAATAAGCAGGAGGCTGTGCCCGCACCCCAGTGGCCCAGGCCAGGGCTCGTGATGGTGACGCTCCCTGGCCACACCCGGCGGCCTACCCCTTAAAGCCTCTCCTGGCTCCTGGCTCCTCGCGCCAGCTCCAGAGAGGCTCGTCTTTTCTCTTCCAGTCCTGCCTTGCTTCTTCTAGGGCGAAATCCTCTCGTGAAACTCACCGGTTCCAGCTGAAGCTCTCTGGTGAATTCCTTCTCCGAGGGGATGTCGGGACCTACACAATATGGGGGCTGTAACAAAGAGGGGACAGGGCCTGTTGAAGGAAATGTTTTGGGGGGGCAGGAAATGAGATTGTCGAGGGCCTCTCGGTCCTCACAACACAGTCCAAAGAGCGCCGAGACAGAAAGAGCTCCAGAGGCGCTAACGGGGGGGAACTGAATATTCCGTGCCAGGGAGCCTGCAGCCAGAACCCTGATTCAGTCTCTTTCTCCTGCAGCCCGCGGCGTGGCCCCTGCGTGCCATGTGGCAGCTCCTGCTGGCCCTCGTGAGCCTGTACTACCTTGTGCGCTGGCTCCGGGAGCGCCAGGTGGTGAGCAACCTCAGCGACAAGTATGTCCTCATCACGGGCTGTGACTCGGGCTTCGGGCACCTGCTGGCCCGGCAGCTGGACCGGCGGGGCCTGAGGGTGCTGGCTGCCTGCCTGACGGAGCGGGGGGCACACGAGCTGAGGGAGCAGACGTCACAGAGGCTGGAGACCGTGATCCTGGACGTGACCAAGTCCGAGAGCATCGCTGCGGCCGTCCAGTGGGCGAAGGAGCGCACGGGGTCCCGAGGTAGCGCCGGACCCCCATGTCCTCTTCTCTATGCAGGGGGGAGCTTTGCCTGCGGCATGGGGTGCCCTGTCTGCTTTGGGTCTTGAATTCTCACGCGCTTTCCTCAGCTCAGCCAGCTCAGGGGATGATTCTCCTCTCTGTCCATGGCCTCTTTGCTGCCAACGTTTGGACTGGGGTTTTGGGGTGCACCTACCCCCATGTGATTACACCTCCGTATACTGGGTCGAGCTTCCTTCCTCACTAGGCACACAGGGCTTGCGTGGGCCCAGGAGCCTCTCTGGGGGAGCAGGACACAGCTGGAGGATTCACGGTCTGTGGGTCTGATGCGCTCCGCCCGTGTCTTGCTGGTGGCAAGCGACTCCCCAGAGTAGTGACACTCCGTATTCACACAGTAGCCCTCAGCGCTCAGAACCAGCCCAGGGTGCTGAAACACTCATGCCCAGTCATGTGCTTTATCCGCTGTCCTTACCCACCCTTCGCCCTCGCGCCCCCCCCACCCCCACATATGGGTGAGTCTCCACAGATGGGCCCGAACGTCTGAAACGCAGGAGGAGGGCGCCATGTCCGCCAGGCCTTGCTGCCGTTGCAGCCCAGCGGCCTGACCTGTGTCCTGCAGGACTCAGGGGGTCCTGTCCCCTTTGCAGGCGGCCAGTCGACTCTGCTCCCCCAACTCCTCATGCAGCCTGCATGATGGAGGGGTGAGGGGACCCCAGTGTGGGCCCTCAGGGCACAGCTCAGAGGTGCAGTCTCTCTCCCTCTCTGTCCAGGACTCTGGGGCCTGGTCAATAACGCTGGCACTGCTGTGCCTTCAGCACCGAATGAGTGGCTGACCAAAGAGGACTTCATGAAGGTCCTGGACGTGAACCTGCTGGGGGTGATCGAGGTGACCCTGGGCATGCTGCCCCTGGTGAGGAAGGCGAGGGGCCGCATTGTCAATGTATCCAGTGTCATGGGCCGTCTGTCTCGCAGGCCGGGTCTCCCTGATAGGTGGTGGCTACTGCATCTCCAAGTACGGCGTCGAGGCCTTCTCGGACTCCCTCAGGTACTCGTGCCCACAGCCCCTCTGTCCAGGCAGCCTGACCCTGGGGTTCGCTTCATGCACACGGGAGGCTCTTCCTTCTGGACCCCGCTCGCTCGGTCCTTCCCCTGAGAGCACCTTCCCGCTGGGTCAGGGTGGCCCAGCCCTGTGGAGTTTGTCTCATCCCGCTGACCAGGCCCCTCAGAAAGTGTCTGGGGCATCATTTCAACTGCTATGATTGGGTCGATGCGGCCCAGACGGTAAGTCCCACGGTACCTGGGGTCCTGAGTGGAAGACAGCGGTCACGCCTTGTCTGCCGGTGACTCACAATCACTCACTGTGAAACAAGAAAGGTCTCTCTGACATAAACACCTGTCGGTGTAGAAAGAGACAGCTGCCGGGCCGGTGTGGCCAAGGTCACGTGAGTGGGCGATGTTGTTGTCAGCTGAGCTAGGGGAGGGCGTGGGCATCTGGTCAGAGCTGGGCATGTGGAACCGAGCTGGCAGGCCTGGTAACCTAGCAAAATAGGCCTGGAGACCTCTGGGTGAGAGGTGTGGACACTGCCTCTCTCTGCGGGGTGCTGGCCAGCAGACAGGAGGGGCTTGACGGGATGTGGGTCCGTGCCAGGTGTGGGCTTTTATGGTGGTGAGACCCCCCTCGGCCACCCCTTCTGGAAGTAGGCATACGTTAACTCAGCTGTTGAGACCCCAGTCGGCAAGGGGCACTGTGACTGGGCAGTGGAGGGCAGGCGGAACGATGCCCCGGCAGGCGGCCACACTAGCTCTGTCAGCCAGGGGTGGCTGGAGAGGGAAGGGGCCGCAGGTGAGTGTGGAGCGAGGAAGTGGCCGTAGCCGGTGTCCTCTAAATAAGGGCTCTACGCGGGCCGCCCCGGGCCAGCTGCACCAGAAGGGGGCCTGTGTGCGGGCAGCAGGAAGTGCTCGAGCGTGTGTGGACTGCTGTGTCGTGACCGTCCCTTTCCAGATTTCTCGCGCTTGGACCCTCTGGGCGTTGAGCTTTTCCCACCCTACTCTGTCTTCAGCTTCCGCGGTTTTGGTGATTATTAGTGTGTTTGTCCTCGAAACCAGCGATCAGGGCCCTCTGCTGTGTGCCTGCAGGAGGGAGCTCTCCTTCTCCGGGGTGAAGGTGGCCATCGTCGAGCCGGGCTACTTCAAGACCGCTATGACCACCACTGAGAATATTTCTCACTGCCTCCAAAATGCGTGGGAGCGCGCCAGCCCTGAGGTCAAGGAGTTCTACGGCGAGGCGTTTATGGCATCCTGTGAGTGAGCCGTGGGCCGTGGGGCGAGGCACAGCTGGAGTGGGTCCCTGCGTAGTGTCCCCTGGGGTCTCAGGTCCACGTCGGGGCTGACTCACCTTCGGGGGACATTGCAACCCACCAACGGGCCCCACATGGTCACCTGGTCACGACAAAGGATCAGGCCTGTGGATCTGGGCCCCCCCCCATCATCTGGGGGGAAAGCGCAGCCAAGTGGGGTGCTCCCCTGATTCAGGGTGACCTGGAGCAGCTGGTGGCAGGTACCGACATTTCCAGGGTCTGGAGACTGCGCTGTGCCTGCCCCCAGCATATGCCCCACGGGCACCTGTGGACAAGTCCGGGGTAAGAATTGTGGCTCATTCTAGTGACCCCAAGGCAGTGACTTGAGTGTAATTTTGGGCGACCCAGCAATTCGCAGAAAGTTTTTGATTTAAGTTGTTCACAGACGGAGGCTGGGAAGTCAGACACTATGGGGACTCTTTGTCTTTCTGGACAGGCAAGAAATTCTTTGCTCTAGTAAATCCATTGTGGCCTGACAGTCTGTCCCTGGCGACGGACTGCATGGAGCACGCGCTGACCGCCCGCCACCCCCGCACCCGCTACTCGGCCGGCTGGGACGCCCAGTTCCTCTACATCCCCATGAGCTACCTGCCCACCAGTGCGGTGGACGCCATGATCTACTGGTTTTCCCCAAGGCACACCATGGCCTTTTACAGGCGACTGAGGCACATTATAGGCTGAAACTGGGTGCTGTGTGAGGGGCTGATAGGTCAGACGGTGCAGTGAGGGGGCACTCTGGTCCCTAGGGAACACCCCCACCCTCTCGGGCTTCTTCCCAAATGACCCAGGACTCTGGGAATGCTAGGCGCAAAGAATGAAGCTTTGTAGCTGTAGAAAAGCTCATATCTGCACCTTGCGCCCACGAGCCCCCCAAGGCCCTGAACTTCACGTCACCCTGATACATGAGGATCCAGCTGAGGGCGTGCTCAGGCCAGGGCGAACCCACCTGCTCGGTGCCTGGCACTGCCATGTCCTCCTCCTCCAGCTCCAGGGGTCTGAGGAGGGAAAGGCACCTCGAAGATGAAGATATTTGGGGGGTAAGAGATGAGAGGGCACCCGGTCTACCAGCGGCCTCAGTGTCCACCGCGCCTGCCCTGACCACAGGGGCGTCCTCGGGAGGGCCCTGAGAGGGCAGCGCAGCCCTGCTGGATGTATCTCAAAGCCCTGGGTGTCTGGGTCCAGTTTTGCCTTCAATTAAAGCCGAAGCTCCTGCCCACACTTGTGTTGGAACCGAGGCCTGTGGCATGGTGGGTGTGGAGGGAGAGTCGGGCGCCTCCCGCCTGGGAGAGGCGGCACCCAGGGAGACTACCAGGGGGCGTCGGGTCACCAGCGTGCACGGACACGGGGGTCAGTGTGGCCATCGGGGACCTGCCCCGGGACATGACGCCCAGCACAGGGCTGTGTGCTCAGCGCCTGGGCTCTGTAGCCCCCACGCCCGCCCCGGGTCCTCACACAGACGACCTCCTGGCCCCTAGTGGACGTCCCCCCACCGTCTTTTATGTCCTGCTCACCTCTATTGAGCCCCACTGTGTGCTGGGCAGGACCTGAGTCCCCCAGGGCGGCGAGGCCTGACTACACCGTGGGGGGGGGGCACTGAGTCTCAGTCCGCAGTGCTTCGGCAGAACAACAGGCTCTGAGCTGAGGTGGGAGCTGGGCAGTGCCCAGCCGGTGCTGGTCTTCCCGTCGGTGTAAAACTGAGGGTGTGGAGGTTCGGGGGCCTCAGCAGGGGCGGCCAGCGTTCTTCTTGGAACAGAATGTGAGGGGGCGGTGGGGCTGCTGTGAGAACGGGTTGGGGACGGCTCCGGCCCTGCAGCCTGCGGTGAGCATCCTCGCGGCGCTCGGCCCCGCACAGCTCTGCTCCAGCCACTCAGGTCCGCCCGTGTTTCCCCGACGAAAACAGAGCAAGAGCTTTGGACTTCACTGGCCTTGCTGGGCTTTCATGATGTGATTGCACACACATCACAAGACAACAACGTGATATAAAAGGCAGTGAGATAAGGGCTGAGTCGCTTTTCTCCACAGCGTCTTCCCAGGAGGCCTGACCTCTGGCTGGACGCCTCCCTCACTGGCAGAGGGCTGTGCACTGCCCGACCCGGGGGCCTCGGCGGCCCCGGGAGAAGGCAGCGGGGAGGCGACCTGTGACTCTGTCGGACTGTCGTGAAGCGGTCACCTTTGTCTATGTGGGTCAAGGTGCTGAGAGGCAGGTACGATCTCATGTCCACGCCGCTGAGCCAGGCACCTCCTCTTGCCAGGCTTCCCTGCTCAGTGGAGAGCAGGTCCAGGTGCGGCACCTGAGGGGTTCGGAACCCAGCCGGGGCGCCAGGGACCCTCCAGGGACCGTGCAGTTGGCCTCGCAGCCTGTCCTTGCTGACCTGGCCCTTTCTGACAACGGCCACCCTGTCCCCATCTGCAGTCACAACCTTATCCTAAGGGGTGTCTATATTTCTGGGTCCCACCGCAAGGTGGGCTGCGCGGCTGTTGTGCTGGAAACCAGCTTACCCTAAGCACCATTGCCGGCCCCTCCAGGCCACGAGCGCTGGGGCACGTGCTGGGTCTGGCCGGGTCCCCGACTGAGCTTGGACCGTGCATTTCAGGGTCTTACCAGGGAGCAGCTCCTGTCCTGGGCAGGTGGCCCAGCCGTGCAGGTCTGGCCCACTGCAGCCCCTCCGCGGCTGAGGCTGGGAGAGGATCTCGAGCAGAGCGTTTGGTGCAGAAGCCCTGAGGGCGCCTCGAAGGTGCTCTCGCTGCGGAGCTGAAACTCCCCGTGACTATCAGGCCTCCGTTTCCCCCTTACCTGGTAGCACAGGGGTTAAGTCGCAGCACTAAAGCTATTGGGGGGGCCGGGGGGACCCCCAGGGCGCAGCAGCCCCCTCCTGTCTCCCGGCTGCCCCTCAGCAGCTTGTTTCAGTGGATCTGCCTGTGCTGCTCCCCGCTGCCCCTGGCGGATCCTCTCACCGCCCCCCCCAGCTCCCCTGACCTTTGCCCCTGCTCTGTAAGCATAAATAAATAAAACAATCTTGTTCCAACCTGAAATGGACTCTGAGTTCCCAAAACTTCCCACCTGCACCCCCTTCTGCAGCTCCTCTATGCCCCAGGCTGTCACCGCCCTTCAATCCACAAGAGAGCCGGCAAGTCCGGGGTGGGAGATGCTGGGTGCAAGGCCCCTTGGGAAGTTACAGTGAAGAAATTTGGGGTCACTGAGCAACAAGCTGTCCTGTTCCTTGCAAGGACAGAGACATGACCTTGTCCAGTAGACACCTGGCCTGTGGGGGTTCCTTTTCTTTTCTTCCGCAGCAAAATGGTGACACCCAGCTTATGTTTGTCCCGGGCATACGTCACGGCCTCCAGACTCTCTGCTAGTGAGGAGGGACACTCCGGGCCTGGAGAAGAGACCGCTATTCACTCAGAAGCCGCACAGCAGGCCCTCTCCGGGCCCGTAAAGCTGACACGCAGACCGGACAGCTCGGACCGGACAGCTCGGCCGTGAGCGGCACCGGTGAGGCAGCCCTCCCACAAGTGGGCGCTAACCTGCCTGGTCTGGGCAGATTGGGACCTCTCTGGGGCGCCAGAGTCCCCAGGTCCAGGCCAAAAGCTCAGCAGGCGCCCCCACAGTGGGCAAGCGCCCATTCCCGGGGTCCTGCTTGCGGGAATATCCCGTGCAGGGGCTTGTGGTATCTGCCTGTGTGGGCCCGCCCGGGAGCAGGAACCCGGCCAGACACCGCGCGCGTCGGCCCCCCGAAGGAGAGAGTCCTGGTCGATTGTTGGCGAGACGTAGGATGCTGATGCCAGGAGTGCCCGGTGAGGGTTGTTGTAGCTCTAAACAGATGAGAGCAGCTACCCCAGAAGCTACCAGAGCCCGGTGCTTGCCACCCCCGCCCGCCAGTCTTCCAACCTTCCCCATAGTCCCTGCCCACTCGCCTGCAGGGGCAGCCTGCTCTGGGCATGGCGCTGGCCCCTGGCCGACAGGCCCTCCTGTGAACTGCCAGACTGGGCCTTCCGTGCACCCAGAAAGCCAGACTCGAAGCACGAGAGCTGTCTTCACAAGTTTTATTCGAGATGACCATCCAGGGAGGCAGCAGGCAGATACCTTAAAACAGCCTCTAGCAGGGATGTCACAAGGCATGAGGGGATGTGAGGGAAGGAAGTGCGGGGAGGGACCAGCACCAGCGGCCTGCACTCAGGTGAGTGCTTTCCAGGTGGGTTCTCCTGGCCCTCTGAGGGCTTGCTTCTGATGCCACTCTCGGCTCTGGCTCCCGGAGACACAGACAACAGGCAAGCGATGGAAGACAGTCCTTTCCAAGGTCCCAGAATGCAGGAGAGCCAAGTAATGCTTACGCTTAAGAAAGTCAGGGGGAGGAGGCAAGAAAGTGAGTTAAAGGTTAATGCTACAGAGGGAACAAATTTAATGAGTTAACCATCCTTAGGGGAATGCAAAAGGGTGGTTAGAGTTTAGTTCCACTGATTCCTAAATTTTAGTCTCTGGGACACTTCTGTGGCAAAATGGAAGCTGTCTGGCTGCAATTCTGTTGTGGGAACAGATTTTGCAGTTCAGAGTCTGCTTTCTGAGTGGAAGCAGCAAGCTAGACACTGGCTGGAAGAAGTAGCCTCAGCTAAGGAGATGCTGAACACAGAGCTGTGAAAACAGCACACGACACCAGGGCACCTAGGAGACCGGACTCAATGGTACTGAAGAGACAGGCGGGTCTGCCGAGCCAAGGGCGAGCCGAGGGCCCGAGGCAGCCAGGATCACTGACTGGCTCTGTCACTGCTCCCAGGGTCCAGCCTCACCACCTCAACTGGGGGGCTTCCGTGGAGCATCACTGAATGTCAGGGTCCCATGAAGCCCTGTCCATCCCCTTTACCCATTCAGCTCCCCAGAGGCGCCTGGCTGCCAAGAATGGGGGCTTAGTGTCCGAAGGAGTAACGATACCCCCACAGTAGAGGCCCGTGTCGGGCACCAGTTCCTTTCCAGAGGGTCCTAGCCTCAGCTCAGGGAGCAGGAACACAGTGGTCATTGCAGGTCACTGCAGGCCCAGCCTCTTCAGGGATGCACTCCAGGTCTCACACAGCTCCCCGCAGACAATGGGAAAACACAGGTAACCTCTATGTTGCCTGCTGGGCTCAGCCCTGGCCTTGACCGCTCCTCTGTGCCTGTCCATCAGACTGTGAGAGACGTGGACCGTGAGGGAGACGCCAGGGCAGTGACACTGGCTCATGGTCCATCACCCACCCTGCTGCCTCCTTCCCTGTCACCCCGAGCCTGGCTGCACGAGGCCCTTCCCCTCCTGGGGCCCAGGCCCTCGCCGTGGGGGACACAGCCATTCAAGGTCAGTCATCTCCTCTAAGTCTCAGCGCTGGGGTTCGGGTCAGGCGTGGCTGGGCAGGGGGCACTCAGGGGAGGGCAGAGGCCATGAACCCCCCAGCCACGGGAACGGGGCGTCGCCAGGGTCGACTCCCTGGGAGACCAGCTGGTGTGAGTCCTTCCATCAACGCTGCATCTCTCCCTTCCGTTTCCTGCCTCTGAGGACCGACACCCGTGGGCGCCCACAATGCTCCAAGAAAGCTGCTTGGCAGGAAGAGAACTTATATTTTTCTTTCTAATCAGAGAGAGTTTGAAAGTGACTTGACTGACAGGAGTGGGCCTGTGTGTGGGACAGCTGAGGACACCCAGGCCAGCACCC